TACCTTAAGAGACCAGCTAATTCTAAATCAACGACAGTACTTTTATAGCCTCTGCATTTAAAAAAAAAAGTTTTTTTTATGTGTTACTGATGGAGCATTATTGTAAATCCATTTTTCCAGCTCATTCAGAATTGCCTTTATTTACCTCAGTGTTATAATATGTGAACCTTTAAATCGAAAGATGTACATCACGTCGTTTTCAGACATTCACTTATTGCTTACTTAACATTGAAAATAACAAATAAATCCTTTGATCGTTAAACACCAAACTAAATATTTAACTGGTGCATACAGTCTATGAGTGCATCCTCCTGTACATATTAAAGATGTTGAGACAAACATTGAAAGAAACTCATCCAAAGTTTTTAAAGATGGCCATTTTTAGAGTAATTTTGTTGCTTAAACAGTGGTCACACAACTACACAAAACCCTGAATCATATACCAGATGGGATAATCTTACCAGCATTCCTGTAATTGTGGATGACAGAATACTTTGACTCAGGGAGGTTGACAAAAGGAACCAAATCCAATTTTAAGATGCTGACTTTGAGTTAGTTAAATCCAGTTAAAAACCCTCCAGTGCAGAAGAAAGTGGAGCTGTACTCCTCATCATTCATTCTCCCGAGAAGCGCATATTAAGCACAAAGCCACTCACACGCTCCAGCTCTCTGTCCCTGTGATTCAGCCTCTCCCTCCTCCGCCTCACTCTCCTTCTTCTGAGCGTTAAACCTCCAGTCACTAGGCTCTCATCCCCTCCCCCCTCTTTACCCACTCCTCCACCACTGCTTCAAGGTAAAGTCCACAGCAGCATTTTATTCCCCTTTCTCTTTCCTTCCTCCCACGTTTGCCATCTGACATGCTTCCCCCTCTTTCATCTTCTCCCTCAGACATCACCACTCACCAAACCACTGTCATGCTTTGTGTCTTAGAGCTTCCCTCACTGTTAAACTCTTACTCTGAGATCATGCTTTGTTATATTTGTTTGACTCACTCCGCTCTCAGGCTGTTTATCTGCAAGCTTGTGTTGGCAGCAACTCATTTCCTCAAATGTGACTTTTGTCTCGGAATAAAAAATGATTACAAACTGCTATAACTATTGCTCAATTTGTATGCAAAAATTGTAAATGAATGGGCAGGACAGAGACGGGAATCACTACATTGCAATACTAAGCGGTTGCCGTGCCCCAGTATGCATATTAGGAGAGAACACATCCTTCCCCTCTTGGGGCATTTATCTGGCGATGCCACTGTTGGCCTTTGCTCATGTGCACAGCTTTTCTGGTGTCTGGCATGATATTCACATCCATCCTCTTTGTTAGTGCCCTTAGGGATCCAAAACAATGGCGCTCACTTGAACCCCCTCCCTTAAATACGACTGGAAACACTGGACATCACATTAAGGGACAGATTTTCATTTATATACAGGCTCATTCACAGCAAAGGCTTTAAAAATTAAAAGGAAATTGAGGCATGCTCTCTGATGTATACATGTTGCAGACCAAAGAGGAACGACACACATGCTGCATCCCATTATGTAACCTGGTCCTCAAGGCTTTTTTGTAAACTTGCCAAATAAATAACTATTGGACATTTCCCATGCTGTAGAAGCAGCGTTGTGCTGTACGTCTGATTCTCCTTTTTCCTACAAGATGTGACCTGGCTTCTGGTTGAAAACATATAGAGGGCCAGTAGCCTGAGTGTCTTGTGATGTTACGGCATGGTTGGCTTCCCATTTCTATTGCCTGCTGCAGAATGTTGTGGCATAGGTTCCGTTAAAAGTCATACTCTGAATAATTTAAAACAAAACAGTCAACATTTACCAGAATAAATTACCTCTCCTAAACTGGTGACCTGGGCGTCTGTGATGCATGTTCACAACATTTAGAATTTTGTAATTTTAATCAAACACCTAATTGAGTTAAATTCCTAAAAAGGGAAAAGGTCAGTAAGGATACTGTATATGTTGTTCAGCTGAGTTGATGTTAAGCCATCTTTCCACACAGGCACAGAGTATTTTGTAGAGACTTTTGGTGAGATCATGTTTTATATTTGACATTAGGATTGTCAGTATCAGTTGCATATAAATGTGCATGCATCACAATGCTTAATATTGCAACGTCCTGGTCTGACAACAAAAACAGTATCTAAAACTCGCTTTTTGCTGTCTGCCTCTTTAAAACATCTCCTGGAAATTTAAGGCCAACAGTACATTTATGACTTATGCAACATTTCTAGAGTGCCAATCCAATATTTAGTAACTGCTGCTACAGTTTTGTAACTATTTCACTATTTAGACAAAGATCAATCCAAAAGACAGATGAAAATTGCACCATGACCCTAACACAGACTTTCAAACTCAAAACAAATGCTCACTTGGGAAACTCAAATGTTTTTTTAATCTAAACACCTAACAACCCCTTTATATAGTATTCAATGTGGATTCAATTAGATTTTTTAAAACCTGAAAATACATATTTTTTATTATCATATAAAAAAGAAAAATATCTTTTGGTAATCTTACCAGCACTGAACTTTCTAAATTCATGATTAAAATCAAATCGTTTCAAAACCAAACAAACACAACCAGATAAAGAGATTCAAATCACATTATATGGGTTGATGAGATGCCTGACTCCTATGGGCAAATTAGAGTATTCAATTAACCTCACATGGAAAAAAGGCCCCTGGTCCCCAGGGTATTTGAACTAGGAATCCTCTTGCCAAAGTCTCGCAGAGTGTGTGTGGGCATTAATGCAGCTGAATTCCCACCAACTCACATATTTCACTATATTCATTTGGTCACACAGCTAAATGTGTTAGACTGATGGGATAAAGACTATGTTTGAAGCACTTTCAGGCTGTTTCTTCGCAATTCTAAATCCACCTTTTTTTTTTTTACCACAGCCTCATCTGACAAAATCAGAGTTAAGGCATTTGAAACAAGATGGCATAAGTGCAGTGGACTCAACTGTAATTACATGTCCAATGATATCCCACAGATTAAATCAGAAGTGGCAGAATGTCAAAATATTCTCACATCATCTACAGCATCCCAGTGTCGGACAAACTTAAGGCAACAACTGGATTTCCTGCCCATGTATGCTGATAAGGACAAGGACAGTGGTCAATTTAAATCTCCAGGTACTCACAGTAATACAATATGTATAATTATCATGAATGTTTGTTTCTATTTATGCAACAACAGAGCCATGTGATGGACAGAGGACCCATCCAGGGTATCTGTCCATCAAATGTTGCACAGTTGCTCAGTTGTACTCATTTTCCACTGTTCATGTTGACCTTCAGTATTTCCATACTACATCATCCGTGAAGGAAACAGGAAATAAATAATTGCATCCATGAGGGAGCCCTATTAGACTGCTTAGCAGACATAGTCAATATCTATTCTGTTGGCTGATCAACACGGAACACAACAGGTCATGTGAAATGGTCAAAAGATTCATGTCTATCTGTAGACATCATGACTTTGTTTGATTTATAAGCAACTGTGTGATCTGAATTTACATGCAACCAAACTGAAAACTGACCAAGTGAAGAGATGGCAAAATGACTGAGGATGCTACAGTCCAGTCAAGGAACACCTCACCGGGGAGGAAACCAGGAGGCATCCTAATCAGAAGCCCGATCCACCTCAACTGGCTCCTCTCAACGTGGAGGAGCAGCGGTTCTACTCTGAGCCCCTCCAGGATGGCCAGAAAATACAAATCTGACATAAAAAGACATTCAAAGTGTTTTTTAATTCAGGGAGTATTGACTGTTCATGATGTCAAAGCTGCTTGCTGACTGAAAAGCTTCTGTGTCTAATTGATTTAAAGGTCCCCATGCCTCAGACCAGTAAAAACTCTGACCCTGAGCAACCCTTCCACCATGAAATGACTTCATTTGAGATAAGTGTTTGGGTTTTATATTTCAAGCATACTCATAATAATGATTCCCCTGAGGAAACTATTTCTTAAGACTTATGATGCTGAATGTGCACAATTCAATTCAATTAAAATTTTAAAGCTCAAATAGAAATGTATCAAGTCGTTTCCTCTTCATGTGGGCATCTGTCCTTGACTACACCAAAGAGAGATTGAAATGTCTCTTGCACATTGTCTGTGTCAGTGTTTATGGGCATACTACTGAAATATGAATATTTACTACCGTATCAGGGCTTTTCCTTTAATCTAAAAGATGCACATATGGGAGACCCATCCCAATATTTTGTTTCTGATGTCACTGTAGTAACCTTTCATCTGGTGTACATTTGGCATGAGGTTGTTCTGTTATACTGAAATTTAAGTTGTTCTTTAAACTGATGGCCACATTTTGTAAGGTAGGTATCTCATGGAGCAGGAATTTCTGAGACCTGTGTGTAAACCTTTTGTCAATAAATAGAGCAGCAATGTTGGACTTTCCTCTGTGCAGCATTTATCTGACACGTCACTGCCAGGAACTTGAGGGAATATTATGTTGTCTTGTTTCCAGCAGAAAAGCCTGATAAGCCAATTTGTTCCTTATTTAATGATATAACTGAGTAAATAGTACAGTGGGTTACACCACTAATGCTTTAACAGCAACAATAGTCAGTGCTGTTTACTTTTCGTAAACTAATGCAAACATTGCAGGCTGTCCCGATGAGAAAAAAGAAAAATCACAGACTTTTGACAGTGTTTAATAAAAGCCTGAGTCTCACTCTGACAAACATAATAAACAAAACTTAGCAAAACATACAAAATCACCTAGCACCGTATTGAATATTATCAGGTTTTTCTTTTTTGATGATCACATTTTCTTTCTTACTTTTTTTTTACAGCCTAATTTAAACATGTTCAATGTACTTTAAAAAAAGTTTTCCCCTCTGTTGAAAAAGAACTCTACCAAATGGAACTGGGATAGTTTCCCAAACTATGAGTAACGAGATTTTGCAACCTGGCTGCTGATTTCAGATTCTGGGAATGCAGGTTTTTTTTTTTGTTTGGACTGGAGACTGGACAGAAATGTCCCAATCAGAAACTTGAGTTTTCAGCAGATATAAATCCTCCCATCTGCAAAATCACAGCATACTCAAGAAGAGAGACTCTGAGCTTCATAGCAGAACATGAAGAAAATAAGCATTCAGTAAGTTTTTCATTTTTAAGGTCTTGTTGGGTAAATCTTTGTGTAAATCTGTACCTCACTTGTTTTAGATGTATAATAGTATAACTTTGCCTTATGCTTGGTCAAGTAACCATGAAAGAGATGATTTATTTAACAAAACTTTTTGGCTCGATTGAACTTTCATGTAATTATCCTCTTCCTTTACTAAATAGTATTTTAAAACCTCTTATACTTGATCAAAAAATAGACTATTTCCTAATACTGTCTTTATTTGCTATCATGTGGGTTCATTTTGATGACTCCCCCAATTTGGAAGAACTGAAGCAGTTGTTGCCTTTTTCTCATTTATATCTGTTATTGTTCAAAGGTTATTTCTGGCTTTGGGCCTCCTGGCTGTGTGGGACTGTCAAGCAGAGGGAAAGATGACGGCCTCTGAGTCAGGTAGCACATTAATATTGATTATCGCAACTATGTGTATGCCTCCAAACCCTGTCCTTTAGTTTCTTCTTAATTTCCAGATAGTTACTTTAATTCCTAATAAAAAGATTCAGGGGGTTATTTACTATTATTGTACATTGGTTCTATATGGGTACAGCAGATACACAACTGTGCATGTACGGACAACACTCTATAAAAGGTTTATTTTGACAAATAAGTGTGGAGTTGCAAATAATATGTAACACAGAGGTGGGTTGTAAGGGGCATGCAAGCTATGACTCTTTTAATCTCACCTCTTTGTCAGGAAAATGGAAAACGTGTTTGGTGAAAAATCACTGGAAAGAAGTTAGTCAAATGTGTTTGGTTTGCACCTTTCCAGAAATATGTGGGATGACTGCCATTACTTGTACATCCTGAACTAATCTGACAAGTAATGTTAAGGAATACGACCTGGTACAAAGACCAAATTGAAAACCGGAGAAAATTTGGAAAATGTCCAGGGAAATCTTGGTGAAACAATGCTCAACAACGTTTAAAGAGATACAAAGAAACCGTGGCTCCTTGATTTCTAAATGTGAAGACATTATGGATATCTCAATTCTTCTTAAACAGTGCAATTGACACAAAACTTAACTTAATTGACTTAGTTCTGTTTGTGACATTAGTCCAATATTTGATATTTGATGTTTGCTTTTAATGTACCTGAATTAATGGCTTTGTAATTTTTTTGTCCTTTTTTTGTCTCTATAAATATCTCTAAAAAATATGTCTGCAGAATACAACCAAAACATAAAGGTATTAACGTGTAATATAGAATTCGAAATGTGAAGGAAAAATTATTCCAACCACTTCAACGGCGTTCTATTGTGACAAATGATTGGATAAAAAGTACGAGATGTAAATTAACTGGAGTGATGAGACTGGAAGGTTCTAAACTCTGCACAAAAGAATTGGACAAGATGATAATTGGACTGAGAACATGGTGCTTGATGAAAATGGATTTCTTTATGACTTCTAAACGACCCACTTAGCAACAAGAAATTTCAAGCCGCATTACAGGTCAATCTATCCAACAGCCATAGAGATAACTGAATCTGTACGAATTTGGTGATACCGTTCTGGCTTAGTTAGATTAACTGTGCTTTTAAAAAAGCAAACAGAGAAAGCTTACAATACTATCAGAATAATACATTTCACAGTCGTACATCACCTAGTCATGACATCCTCACACATGGCTTTTATTTTTATTTTTATTTTTATTATATACTTTTATTTTATTCTCTGATTCTCTTAAAAACAAAGCCAAGCAAACACCAAACAATCAGAATCTAGAATTCTGGCTATACGCACTAGAAGAATAGATATTAATGATTATATTTATAAACACAATGAAATGAGGAGCAACTCATTATGTATCAATGCAGTCTCGTAATATATCAAAAATAAAAAGCATTTTCATTCTTTAATTACTTACATGACATTGGAAGTGTTGGATTCATTACCAAGCAATATGATGAAGATCCTTCTAGCAAATTAAACATGCCAGAACAAGATTAAAAATCATTAGCTGATACTGAAGAGGCTCTTTTTTGTCTTTGTGGCAAAAGGTTCATCTGAAGGCAAAGGGAATATGTGGGATTCTTGCAAACTAACATAAATTTAAAATTTTTTTTCAAAATGACAATGGACTGTCTCTAATTCGTTTGACATATTCCAAAATTTAGTTTTTTACCAGCAATGAAGGTGTGTCTTTCCTTTTTTAATAATACCACCCGCTTAAGCGAACATGAAGACTAAAGACAGGGAAAATAGAGATGGACTAAAGCATCAACAGATGAACACAAACTGGCCGTCAGAAACAAACCCAAAGACATCTTGACAAGTAAGTTGTCAAGCAGGATTTTTCAGAAGGTTCAAACGTAACGATAACCACAGAAAATAAGCTCATCATACACAACAAATATCAGAGACATGTATACTGATTAGTCAGTTCACTTCAGCAGACTGGGACAAACACACAGTGGTATCATCAAAGGTTTGGCTAATGAATAATTGTTTTGTTTTTAATAAACAGGAACAAGCCACAATTTATTCTGTTATTGTAAAACAATATTATCTATATTGTAAAACTTACAGAAATAATTGCATCATTATTTTGCTCTGTTGTGTAATTTCTTTGGTCTGCTATCCAGCTATTTCAAAGCTGTTTAAATGTTTTATTGACTTTCTCTCCTGGTAATTCACTTTTTCTCCGCCGCAATTCTCTGTATCTTTCTGTTCATCTTGTACATAATTTCCATTTGTGGTAGCTTTGAATTCTTTCATTATTTTGTTTTGTCGTGTTGAATTTGAGTTGTTTTTTGGATATCTTGTTCTTTAATCATTAAACATTTCGACCTCTAGTTCTGTGCTAAGTAGACAACATTATTGATCTTCAAATGAGGGTCAATAACAGAGAAGAAAACAGTTGAAACTATTGAATTATATCAAGGGAATTGTCTGTAGGCAGAATATCTCTAAATAATATACAAATAAATAAAAGAAATTAAGAAAGCAATCAATGAACAGATACGTTCTCATCTCCCAGCCTCTAGGTTGGCATCGCTCCGTTCCAGGCGAATGGTTGGGGGGAACCTGGCACCTCATGTACCCTGGCAGGCCATGGTCTACCTCTCTGATAGTGTTCTGGACGGAGGCTACGCAGGTGGTGCTCTCATCTCTGACAGATGGGTGTTGACAGCTGGAAGAAATCTCTTTGTGAGGAAAAGTCGACTGGACATTGAAGGAAAACAGCCAGTTATCCCTAAAGTGTACTTGGGTATCTCACAAAAAGTAGACATTGACAAGTCCAAAGGCTTCGCTGTAGAGAAGGTGAGCAAAGATACTATTGTGCATGAAATATTCAAAACACTAGCAAAAAATATGGCAAGGTAATGTATGTAATGTAGTCCATACATGTCCAGGGAGTGTGCCCCCTCTCGCCAGTATTCTTTTTCACATGAAGTCTATCCAGCAACCCCTAAAGTTGAATGATTCTGAAGCCAAAGTCATGAGTGGGTGTGTTTTTATCACAGTGAACAGTTTTATTAATAAGTGCTCTTTGTCTACATTATTGTGATGTGGCTGAAATAGTGTTATTTTTACATTTAATTTTTTAGAAGTGAGAGAATTATCATTAAAATCCTGTGAGAACTGAATGGGATCCATATGGGGTCAGGAAACGATCAATGGAAAAAGGGGAAAGAGGGAAAGGGGGAAGTATCCGATACTTGGAAGTTTTCAGGCTCCTAAAACTCATCATGAAAAAAATCTTTTTCTCACAAGTTAAATAACCAGTGTCCAGAAGATGGTGGTAAAAACAATGTTTATTTTCCAATATTGTAAAAGTGAAATCGACGAATCCTTCTTTCTGATTTTAAATCAAAATGAAAATACTAAGGACCACTTTCCCCTTCCGCAGGTGGTTCTTCACCCAGGTTTCCAGAACCGGTCTGACTGGGACAACGACATTGCTCTGATCAAACTTAAAGACCCAGTGGTTGTGAGTGAAAAAGTGACCCCCATCCCCCTACCAGAGAGAGGGCAGGACCTGGACAACACAGTGGGTGGGTCGGGGGTCATCGCCGGTTGGGGCTGGGGGGTGCACCTCAGCCCTGCTACATCTCTTAAACACCTCGTGCTCCCGCTGGCCGGGCACTCTGAGTGTAAAGCGGAATACGAACGCATCCCATTCACACCAGCGGTGGACGACAACATGTTCTGCACCGGACCCACAAAGTTTGACCAGAACGTCTGTTTTGGGGACGCAGGAGGTGCTCTGGTGGTGACGGACAATCAAACGGGAGATGTTTACGCTGCAGGGATCCTCTCCTACGATAAATCCTGCGGAAGGTACAAGTATGGAGTCTACATGAAGATTTCCTCATACCTGCCCTGGATCCACAGCGTCATCAGGGGAGACACGGAGCAGTCGTCTGCTCTGCGCTCCGCTGCAGTGGCCAAGATGTACTCGTGGCAGCCATAAAGCCTCCACCACTCTTGTTTTGACATCTTTTTGAGCTTTCTTTGCTTTGTCTTCTATTAGAAATTACTCAGAATTATTATGACTAGAGTTAATTACTGCTGTGCTATGTTGATAAAAGTTGCATCTGTGCCAAAGAATAAAATAATCTATCAGGATTTCTACTGACTCAGTGTATTTGCAATTTCTATAGCTGTTTTGACTAAAATACATGGTGCACCAGACAGAAGCACAACATAATTGCCCCCTATATTGGACTTTGGTGCTAGTTGTTTTCAACTGACGTTTGGATTTTTTATTCTTAGTTGAACCAAGTGTTTGCCCTCTTCTCTTCATATGAGTTTTTCCCACACACTTTACAACGTGTTTTGACAAGAGGCAGGATGTCAAGCAAGAAAACGGGTTGTCCTGCAGGACACTTGAAAAATAACAATCTGTGCCCACACTGTCACACGTTTCATTTTGAAAAAGAGAACTTGAAAGCCCCATATTTCGAACAGCTTTTTACTGTGTGGAGTCAAACGCTTAAAAGGAAAGTTAGCAGAGGGCTAAAATGAGATGACGCAACTTATAGTTTGTCCACTTTAAAGGTTGCGGTGAGGAACGCCACTTGAAAGGTGTCTTCATCTGGCAGGTGCATCCATTCCGCTGTGAATCAGGAACTGTCTTGGCAGCATGTACTTTGAAAAGTAGTATGATGACATCTGCCTGTCAAGTCGATACAGTGGGATTTGAGATGATGAGGGAGAGAAAATTCTAAGACAGTTTTATTCCTCTGGGTGTTTTTAAGAGTTACGTGAGGACAAACAAGCTTGGGGCACGGATTGGCAGATGTTCTTTATCACTTTCATCTCATGAAACTGAGTTATTTAAGCTATTAATGATGGCTCAGAGGATTTCGAAGATGGCTTCTGCAATGAAAACTGCTGAAGGCTTGAATTTATGAAACTGTTACAAAAACTGACTATCTTGATTACCTGAGGGAAATCAGATTACTGTCTCCAACATTTCTTCGTTCATTCACCTCATATGATGATACTCTTTCATTTGTGAAACTTTTGAAAGGGAATTTAATTTGTCAGACATGCTATGAATTCATCTTTTCAGTGTCTGATTTAGATACCCTGAAACACTTGCAAGTTTGAACAGATAAGCAATTAAAACACCACCTGGTTGCAAAATTTATTTAAAGTTTTGAGAGTAAAGGGAAACAGTGTGTTCACAAGAGTGAAACGTCCTTGACAATTAATACATCTACCAAATATTTTTGCAGCTGACAAGAGATGTTCAGTTCAGCTTGGATAATCTCAACACATAACAGAAATTGCTCAGGACTTTATTGTCCAGCTTCTGCTTCTATCCCGGCAGCTGTGTTCTGCTGCTGTTGATCAGCCTTGTCTGACTGTGCCTCAGCTTAACCTTGGAAACTTGAAAATAAATGGTCCCTTTCATGATTCCAAAGTGTTCAAACCATCATACTGTGTGCATTTTGCATTGCGGCTCCCTTTTGAATATTTTTCCTGATGTATTCTCTCTGTGGAATTCCAACAAGCACCGAGGTCCAGCTCTGCACTGTGATTTTTCATGAACACAACCCGTGTTTCATTCCAGCCTTTGGCCCCCCAAAAAATTAAACCTTAATAATCATTCTCCCTTGTGCTTTTGTGGTTATCCCAGCTACATGCCCACTTTCCTGTGAGGGTGCAGCCATGTGGCTAAATGATCCCCATCCATAATTATTCTATTGAAGTGGGATGAATAACTAAACTCTTTGTAATGAGGTCTCCACAAGTCAAATCTTTTAAAAAAAAAAGGTTTAGTTAATAATATTTAGGTTCACATGAAGGACTTTCTGTGTAAAACTTTGTTCATTCCTGTCAGGAACACCATCTGATTATGGCCCCCCTGTTGGTGGAATGACCTACCAAGCGCTATCGGGGCACAGGCCCCTCTCTCTCCACCATTAAGAGACTGACAAAAACTCAATTGTCTGTGAGTACCTCCACCCAATACAAACTAAGCTCCAATTATACGACTATCTTTCACTTCTTTCCCCCTTTTTTTGACCAGCCAGGGTCTGAATAAAGAATATCTGGCAACATGTTTGAGTGTGTGGTACGTTAGCTAAAAATGTTGCATTTTTATGATTAAGCTTGCTTCAAATAGATACCATTAGATTACCCGAGATCCCTTCATCAACAGGTTTAACAATGGAAATTTTGCTCTTCAAGGGGAAGCCTCTGCTATGGGGGAAAGTCATATCTACGTGAATCAAAAAGCACAGGCTTTCCGGTAAACATTGATACTATAAGACAAGCAGTGTTACTCACTTATCAGAGGATATTTATTATTTATTCTATTCATACCCCCATTGGTTTCATAAGTTATCATGCTTTTGAGCAAGTTAAGTGAGTTAACAGCAAATGCAATCTAGGACAAACACAAAGTGGTATCAATAAACAGCAAATATAATATCAATAACAGCAAATATGAGATCATTTGAACTACAGCAAGATTTATGAAAAAGGCAAGCATAATGTATAAACTGTTAAACTTAAGTTTCAGACTTAATAACTACATGTGAAATAAATGTAATTAAGCTAATTATAGATATAGATAACATCAGTTAGGCCCTGCGATGGACTGACGGACTGTCCAGGATGTACCCAGCCTCTCACCCGTTGACCACTGGGATGGGCTCCATTAGGGAATAAGCGGTACCGATCATGGATGAATGGATGGATGAATAACATTAGTTATGACCATGACCGGATCCCTGACTGTCAGTTTCTTCTATGCATTAATTCAAGCCTTTTTTAAGAGGTTTAGACTTTTCCGCAAAGTTCCTCATCAGAGCCTCAAGTCCGATGTGTCACCAGTCTAGGGAAATGAGAGAACACAGAGAGGGTTTGAGCTGACTATCTTTTCAGCTGGTTAGTGAAGTGTGTCCAGAATCATTTAGAGCGTTGACCTTTGTTGTCTAAAGTTAAAAAAACGAGAGAAGTCCTTTTTTTTTTTTTTGCAGATCAGGATGTAGGAGGTTCCCCTCTATGGCATCTGAAATATTAATACTGCTGTCAAAGACCATTACTTTCTACCAGTCTCAGAGTGTACTCTGTGGTTCCATGCCTCCTCAGAGCGTTTGCTGAGGTCACAACACCAGCAGTGACGCAGTTTTAGTATGTACATATTGGACTAAATGGGCTTGGTCTGAAAGCTGAATTCAGACAGCTGCTTTTGATTATAAAGTCAGTCCTTCTTTTGTTCTTTCTTTCTCTCTTCTTAAGATGCCCTGCATCCACTCATAGAACTGGTTGCATGTGATCTGGAAACTCTGCAGGCTGGTCATCTTGTACATTACAAGGTGGCTGTAACCCAAGCAATGCTATTAAAGAAGTGCCCTCCTGGTTCTAACTAGAGAAATTGTCCTGTAAAAAGAGAAAAGAAACAATAGGAAGGAGCCAAATAGCCTTTTAGGACTGTCCTGGTTAGCCACCAGGAGAAGCACAGGGGTTTGAAATAGAAAGTAAATTAAAATAGGAGAAAAAACTCTATTTATGTCAGTGCTTTATGCCTGTGTCCATTTAGAAGCGATAACACAGGGTTTATTTTCTCAGATGTTAAGAGGTTGCAGACACAAACAGTTGCGTCGCTGTTTTCTTTCTAAATTCAAGTGGGGCTATCCCTCATCTGCAACAGTTAAGCGCCCACTCATTTTTAAAAACAAAAATAGAAAGAAGATGGAGCTACCGGGCAATAAATGCCATGCAAATGCCAAGACTGTCACACCTCCTCCTGTCCAGGGTACAACCACCTGCTATGACTCCCTTCAGAGCTCTTGGTCTCATTACCAGCCCCTTAATGTGACTCAGATGTTTATCGCAAGTTTTCATATTTCTGCTGGTAGCCTACAGCAAATACAATCAGGAGACCATTCCCAGCCCCACTACAAAAATAAATTCTTTACAAAATATGTTATTACACAAAAACCCGCATGAAAAGGTAAAAAGCATCTGATTTATGCATCCAGATTTTAGACATCAAAGTCTCTGCCAGCACAGAAACGAACCAAGGACAAAAAAAAAGGAAGGGCTGAATCTCCTTTCATGTGGGAGATTTCATTAACCCTACCTCTCAGAAGAGGAAGGAATCTCTTTTGAGAGGACTCATGTAATATGAAAGCACTTGTTCTTCTATTTCTTTACTGTCATTCTGATGTTATGAAAGACAGCGCTGGTGAGAAGTTTGCAGTGGACACAACCGTCTGTGGCAGTATCTTCTAGTGGGTTGTCATGTTGCCATACAGCATCAGGACAGAAAAGGTCAGCATGCTTTCAGGATCTGCTCCGCAGATATGTTCACATCCTTCCTGTCTAACGACAGCGGCTGAAGCAGCTGTACAACACCCAGTTCTCACCTTGAACCTGACCACTCTATTCTCTGCAGGACCTTTCCTCTAATATTCGAGTCATAATAAAACACAGCCTGTATCGCCATAAAACAAGACAGTCAAGGTCAGAAATGATGTTCAAGTAATTGTGCTAAAGCATGAAAAATTGCCATTTGCCCCAGAGACTTAAAATCCAATAGCTTTGTCACTTTCCAGTGATTGCTGTTTTTTATTACCGTGCGCATATCTCTGAACATAATTTAGTTTTCCTACATTGAATCTGCTAAGATTCAACACATTTTTGTGTTATCGTCTAGCAGGAATTCATCAGAGAACTTCCAGTGAAACCAAATGGAGGTTGTGTTGTGCTTTGTGGCTGCTTTGTTTATCTGGTACTGAGGGTTGGAGCATTTCGCAGCACCATAACAATGTGCGATAAATCCTTTAAAACTATAAAGTCTATTTTTCACACTGATTTTACTAGACAAAGGAACTTAAACTAAGCTAAACTACTGCAAATTGATCTAAAGTCTAACTGGGGAGGTGGTCTGTTCTCTTTTGGCATATAGATAAGTGGTCATAGAACAAGGTAGGAGTCTTTTTGATCAACTTCACATTGGGTTGAGGCCCAAGTGAAACCTTAGTAAGAATGCAGTAAGATTTTTACCAAAAATAGAATCTTGAAGGATGGAGTTTCAGATTCGTACAGATCTGTACCTTCCAGAAACATAGTGGTAGTTTAAAGGAATGTTTAGAGGCTGTCTCTGTGAATCAGGGAGGATTTATGTTTGAAATATATTTTTTGTTATATTTTTTGTCACCATGTGCTTTTTTAAAATGTTTTTTTGCTTGAAAACATTGGATTTTTCTAGTGAGACAAAAGGAATTCATTTGCTCTTACTGATGAAGATATCATTAACTGTGAAACCCCCAAAATTGGGATTTCCAATTATTTGGATTGTAACTGTACACTTAGACAATCTGGCTTTTTTGTTCTTGAATCCTTTTGGTCTGAGGTAGTTAACAGATGCAAGCTTTGCCCTTCAACTGCCTTCCCCCCAGCTGAGTCCTAGAGGCGGGAAAAGTGTGAAGACACTTCTCACATGACTGAAACTTGTAAGTGTGCATGCACGTCAAAAAGCATGAACTATTACACATGTGTTTATAAGAAGCGGATACAACAAGATGTTAGAAGACTTTGTCAAGTTGATTAACGAAGACAAATTCAAGGCAACTTTTGTCCCTTATTTGCATGATGTGAGCAGATTCACACCCTTTTATGGGATTGTGCTGCATTGCTTGTTTGTGATGTCAGGGACTACTTATTTACTCTTAATAACAAATAAATAAATTATACACTTTGCAGGATGTAGCATTCATCTTAACTTTGGGAGTTTTCGATCAGCTAAATTTGTTTGTTTTTTCAAGTCATCATTGGGGACTCCCATTTAATCAGATATCATGTGCGAATCCATGCTAATTTAATTCGTCAGAGCTGCGTCTTTAAACCAATTATGAAAGTTTATTATCAGACAACACACTGTATATGTACACTGCTTGAGAGACAGACATTAGAAGCACCAGTGCATGGAAACTGCAGGGGTACCAACACTTTTCTTTGGGTGTGTGATGACACACAAGGGCGGCTCAGCCCTCTGGAAGTCAAGCTTTTTATGGAAAACCTTTAACCCGTCCTTCCCCTTCTGCTCATTGTTGTAGTGTTGACATAACTGCCAGTTCCTTCGCTTGTAATTATTATTAAAGAAACGTGACTTTCCCCTTGAGCTTATCAAAGTGGAAAATGATATTGGGACATTTAGAGAGAAGTGCCTATGAAAACAAGACAGTTACAAACTATACAGCGAAAAGATCATGCAGTGATTACAGTTAACTAGAATGGTTTAAAAGATTTCAGTCCCGAGTTTACTGAATATTAGCAGGACTGGAAACAACAACAGAAAATGCTTCATTCCCATCGTTCTCTGACAGGATGTAACATTTCTGACTTCATTCCTGTGTCAGCCTTCTCAGGTGCTTTGGTTCTCTGATTCTTGCCTCTCCCACACAAACTCCAAAGAGCAGCCCTGCATCTTGGACCTATACACGCTTTCAAAATGTTGATTCTGCTCCTTTGTGAACATGTTTTTCCAGTCCCCAATCTGACCTGCAAAAAAAAAGCAAAGGGGAAGAGACAAAATGGTAATATGAAATGAGAGGCAAAAGTGGGTTAAAACTGAGGCATCAAGAAAGCCATTTGAAAGAGCCTTTTCTCTGCATATTAAATGCAAAGATTATCTTTGTATCACGTAACTGTGTTTTATTATGACCTTCATCAATTTTTCTGTATTTTGATGTAAATGGACAGTAGTCTGTCATCCATTCGGTTGTGTCTTCAGTCAAAGAATACACAACACAAGCTTGAACAGAATAGAATATAAAAGCAGGGAGAGACACGGCAAGAATGTGGAACTTCAATGAAGTCCAAAGTTCAAACAACCCACCTTTTCTCATGAAGCAGCCCTTGCTGTGATCCAGAATCTCATCGGGGATGAGGGAGTAATTGATCATTCTATTGTCCTTCATGCAGTTGAAGCTGCAGTGTTTCATGCAGCTGCTGACCTCCTCCTCCAGCAGAGGACACTGCAGCAGACAGCTTACCTTCCTTATGGCGCCTTTCAGGTCCTGATCATTCAGTTCAGGAAAAAAAGAAAGCTGAAATTAAAGTCTCTCCTGGTTTGTGTCTCAAGTTGTTTGTGCTCATCATTTTCGGTATTACATTGTTTTTGTATTTGTTTTCTACATGTGTATTTTCTCATTTTGATTTTTCTAAATAAAATGATTGCATTTTAAACTATTTGAAAGTTTATGTAACTAACAGATCCGCCTTTACCATTGACATCTCTTCATAAGTTATGTGAAGCAGGTTGAGATCTGCAGCCTGACTGGTCCAGCCTTTGATATGGTCAAACCAAGAGCCATAATGCACTGAAGACAATAAGAGACATTGTGTCAGATTTCCAGCACATCAGGAAATCTAAACAACACCAGACGACATTTTCCCTGTGTCAACTTACATGTGCCATCCAGGAATTGATTAACAAACTGTTCAAAGGAACCCGTCTCAGGAAGGAAGTTAGCCAATTTGTGGAAGTGATAATAGGACACCGCAACATCTTTTGGATTTCTGCTCACAAAGATGACCTATGTGAAGGTACAAAGCAAAACTATCAGCATCTATCAGTAACAAAGAAATTACAGTATTTGTTGCATCCCATCTTGGAGAATTGGTATTTTCTTAAGAAGTAAGGGACTGAAAGTAATGGTGTCCACAACCCTTAAGAAGCATTAATGAAGCTTTAAAGCATGTTTCTTCCAAGTTTATCCTAATTTTTAGCTTGTTATGATTCTTGGAGAATAGTCAAATAAGACACCTGCAATAATTCAAGCCATAAAGAAGAGAAGTTGGTTTAAATTGCTATAGAACATATGGAAAAACACACACATCTAAAAATCTAAAAGGTAATAAATATGATAAATAAATTCTAATCCTGACCCTGGCCTTTGAGCCCTGGAGGGCAGGTCCCAGCAGGTGATGGGGCAGGTGTGTGGTGAAGAGTCTGGGTGTGTTGGATGAGGCTTTCAGCATGGCAGCAAAATAGTACTGCTCCAACCAGGGAGCTCGGGTCCAGTTTGGGATAGTCTGGGATATGTGGGGGTTCCCTTTATTGGATACTAGAGTCACAATTTCTTGCATCCATGTGGTGCCTGTTGAGAAAAATGAAAGAGGTGCTGACAGGACTTTAAAATCCCCCTCGATAATAGCACTAAAAAAGTACTTTGTTTGAAGGCCCAGCACTTTAAGACCCAGACAGTACACTAATTTGTATGTTTTCTTTGAACTGCGGTGCCAGACTTTATTAATTCCCTATGATACGCATATAACAGACCATTTGCTTATTGCACTTTTCTTCTAGCTTCAGTGTTACAGTTTTGCTCTATGGACATCACTTTATGTCCCATATCAAATAGCAAGACAAAGATAACAGCATTTCTAGCATGTATGTTTAGCTGGATCTTTAGGAGTTAAGTTTGTCGATCAGACACTACAACGCTAACTAGCCCCAGCTTGAACCCCATGCCATCTTCTGAACCATCTGAGATGTGCATAACGCTGATCAGCTCATTAAACTAAAAGATTAAGAAGGCCGGGCGCGACGTACCCTGACCTCTGCCGTCTCCTCTTACCTGACTTTGGATAAGACACAATGAGGATGTCCGTGTCCCGAAACTGAAATTCAAGAGCCTGTTGTAAGGAATCCTGTGTGTGCAGGTGTCCAGGAAATGAAATGCCATGAAAGGTCTCTGTGACATCCAATCTGGCCATATCCGACTCCTGTTATTTTAAAAGTTTTGCTCGTTTTCCTGAATCTCTTTCAGTGCTACCCTCTATCTCTGCTTTGTCTCTGCGAGCCTTTTTTATCTGCGAGAAAGGCCAAATGGTGGCCACAAAAAGATTTCCGGAAACAGGACGGGGAAATATAGATGAATCTGTGCAAGTGGGCGTCAGCCAGCTGATGTTTCTTCTAGTACCTCCCAATAAAAAACTTCAAGTCATTTTGAACTTTTACCAGATACAAAAACTCAATTACAAATCAAACTCCATAAAACCCAATACATTGTTAGTGGAGCAGGACTGATGGAACAAAGACAAAATGCAGTAGTTGTGTGAGACATACATTCTCTGAGCAGTTCATCGGTCCTGATCTAATCTTGAATTTATTCATCCCAAGGGATATATCAAGTTAAGTGTAAGTCTATATATCTAATTTGGAGCACATCAGATGACAAGTCCAGCCGCCCGTGTTCAAGCTGTTAGGCTTCTATGATCTGGAGGACCGAGAGCCAACAGCTGGGTTACATTTTGTTTTTTCTTTTCTTCGCTCAAAAGTTTAAACTTGCCTTTTTGTTTAGTTAATGTTCACTTTTTAAAGAATCTAAATGGCATGCTCTACATCCTTTTTGATAATACAAGTCCTGTCTGTATTGCAAAAATACGACTTAAATGGTTGAAAGACATCTTTTCGTTATGCTGTACTGTATGGCTTCCAGTGAGGCATGAGGTATCGACGGGAGTTCTACGGACTTTTGTGGCTTTGCAGTGAATCGTTCAAAATTATGAACATATATATTAGTCACGTAAATTACTTTTCACAGATGTTGTCAGCTTTAGCCTTGTGCTGTGCCAGATTAATATAATTATCAACTATATTCTATAAATGTGTTGTAATGTTTGCATGAACCATATTCATACTAACACAATTCTTATATAAGTCATTCTGCCAGTAAACTGGGTGCAGTTTGCCGGAAAGCCTTGAAGATAGCGCTGGTGCTGATGGGGGTAGTAAACACACTCATAAGGGATACGTCAAGGGTGTCATATCAGCTGTTGTGTATCTGATTGTCTACATAAACCCGGCTTTGAGTGTACAGTTTGTCCATTGAAATCTAAAAGTGTTTATTATGACACAGGGTTTCCACCACAGAACCATCAACCTGTGATTTTATCCTTCACTTCACTACTTTGTGTGGTCTGGAGACTTTGTCCCTGATTTAAGCCCAAACAAAGAGTCCACTTTGGCATGTTTTGGATAGTTTTAATCATGTCTCATTTGTTTTCTTGATTTGCACTTTCACTGCACCATAAGTCTTGCAATCTGTCCCAGTTCCTATAATTTTTTCCATATTTCCTTATATTACGGGGCCTCATGTTTATAACCAGCCATCATCAGATATACTGTGGAGGGCAAAAGAGGAAGTCTTTTCCCTGACACATTATAAAACTGTGGGTCTGTGGGTTTTTTTTATTAAACATTTTTGTTTAAATTTTGTTGAATAAATGCCCATGACTGAAATAAATACAGCAGTCTTGTCTTTCATGTCAGTAGATTTATTTAAAAATATATATTTATTAACAAGTTCATTAAAATAGTACAAAATGTATATTTATTAATAGGAGAAGCGTAGTATGGACTTGACTGGAAACCACTGTTGTGAGACACATTAATTACTTTTGTTATAAGATTTTTAAAGTTGTGATCTACTACATGTGTTCTACACGTGTACAGGGAACAGTAATAAAAACATACTTAATATATATCTTTCATGTTTGAGTCTTTTGTTTAATTTATGATTGGATAAGGGTAGTGCTCTTCAAGGAAACATTTTCATGGCTGTATTTGTGTGGGCTTGGACACAATGTGAGCTGGCTTGATTCTTGACTTGTGTCGAGTTAATATATTCTCAAGATGACATACATTTTCTGCAGATGTGATTTTTATTTCATCATCTTTTTCTTTTTGTTGCTGAGTTGGATTTCAACCTGCTCACATTCAACCTCCTGATGCATAATTTGCAAAGAATAGCTGAGGGACACAGATAGATACATTTATGGCTACAGAAAGATTTTGAAGATACATTTCTCTCATGGTTGTGCATAACCGCTTTGGTTGTGGACTTTAGAAAAAGCAATCAACATTCAAATTATACATTAACCAGGATGACATGACAAACTAGCCAGTACAGATATTTAAGCTGTGATTGTGCATTCGTGACAGCTGAGGCTCTGACACCACTCCGGACAGAGGAGGAACCATTAACTGACAGTGAAAGGCATCATTATGCTGAAAAAATAGAAAACTGAAAGAGAAGCCAGACTAATCCATTGCACAAAATTAAAGACGGTTAACCGTGAGAGATAAAATCCTTTTTATCACTGTTTTTAGGATTCTGTGTCTATCTGAATTTAATAGATATGCAAACCAGGGTTATCCAGACTTCATGTTTGGCCCTGTGGATCAGTTCCTGCGCCATTGCTTTGGCTGTGGACCAGAACATGACCAGAGCTCTGCAGCTGATGTCTGAGACACCTCTAATTGATGGGTATGTGAAAATCTATTTAAACCTTTTTGTGTGATTTAAGATCTTTCTTCTATTTAGATGTCACAATCAGAAGGAGAGCCCCACAGTGCAAGATATAACACACTGTGATTGTTGAGCAAACTAAACAACTTCACTCCCTATTACTGAAATTAAAAATGATGATTCAAGTTTTAAGGAAATACTCTTTCAGACTGTAACTTTTATGCTTTTTCCCCCCTCAGCCACAATGACCTGCCTTGGCAGCTTCGGAAACAATTCAACAATGAGCTCAACAAAGTGGATCTTAACACATTGGCAACAACACACACTAACATTCCGAAGATCAAGGAAGGACGACTTGGTGCACAGGTAAATGCAGAGACGAGGGTACCGACGAAAAGTCAAGGAACCCATCCTATCAAGGCCAATGCATTTCTTATTTGCTGGTCCCTTCATCCCATTTTAGAAGAGTAGTGATGATACAACTGTGCAAACTGCTGTGATGACTGATTTCCATGTTGGTCTACCGATGCTGGCGTGGCCAGCCACTCCAGACGTATATGTCATCAGAAACATGTAATAATCTGTTATGTTTAATAGCTTTGTCTGCCACTGAGTGGCAGACAAAGCTATTAAACAGCTATTAAACTATTAAGCTATTAAACAGCTATTA